TGTTAACGCTCTCTCTTTGGAGACGCTGCTGCTGCAGGCGTTGGAATAGTTGTGAGCAGCAGGAAGAAACACACTGCAGCTCCTCCTGACGTCTTGTGTGGAACAAACACTCTGATTACGTTCATATTAGCTTCATTATTCTTTAAGCTGTTTGTGTGTTTTTCCATCGTAGCAGCGTTTTATTGTGTGTTTTATGGATGAGTGACTAAGATGCACATCCACACGGTCGCCAGATTAACGCATCACGTGTGAAAGGGGTTGATGTAAAGCAGACGTGATGCCTACATCGTATGTCGGATTCATTCAGTCATTTAATAACAAACACTTTTTTTATGTTTGATGAGTTTCCAGTTTTTTCCTAATTGAACCCGTTTTCTCCTCAGAACTGGGATCAGATGTGCGGCCAGTCTCTACCAGCAGCTCTGCACTCGTCCATCCAGAGGAAAGACTTCATGGAGGTGAGAAGAAACTGAATTAGGTTTCACCTTCACTGTGGACCTTCTGGCTTCACACAGTGATGCTGGAGTTAATACGCAGCACGCTTTATAGACACTGACGTTGTTGATATGATCACTTAAAGGTGGAGTCGGTGAATTTAATCTAATTCAGTGAACATCTCCTCACAGTCAGTCAGCTTCCCTACGTGGACGCTAAAAAACAGCCGGGCGCTGTTCAGACACACCCGAGTCTGTAATCGTGTTGTTTTACTGTTTCAGGCCACGTTTACACATAGATGGTATTCACAGAAACGGATCTACGTTTTCTACAATAACATCGTTCACACCAGATCGTTTTCAAAAAAATCTTCGTCTCCACAAACCTGCATGAACGCGTGGTTCAGAGCTGCTATGAGCTGCCAGACCTGCAGGGGGCAGTGCAACGAGAAGCATAAAGCCATGCGAGCCAATCAGAATCCTGGTACATCAACGATAAAGGTGTCGTTAGTTTGGACCGACAGAGACGTCCTACATGTGCTTTCAGAGACACAACGAGGAAAACACTAGAACACATTGACTTTCTATCACAGCAGCTGAACTGTAAACATGGTCGCACACGTATGACGCTGTGACGTCAGACTCCGTCTCTTCTTGTCTACATGCAAACATAAAGACGGAGTTTTCAGATTGTTTTCGGTGACTCGTAGCTTCGTTTACGTGTAAACCAAAGGACCAGACGCAGTGAGATATCTCTGTTTTTGCTGCATGTAAACGGGGCTTTAGTGTAGCCCTGTGATAGACTGGTTACCTGTCCAGGTGAACCTGCCTTCACCCTGAGTCAGCTGGGATAGGCTCCGCCCCCCATGACCCTGGTGAGGGTTCAGGTGTAGATGATGGATGGATGTTTACGTCTACATTTGCTTTTATACGTTCATTTGTTCAGTGTTGAATTGTCTGACCACTTTGGGCTCAAACAGAACCAGCAGATGAATGCAGTGACTTTAAACTGGACCAGCAGCAGCCGCCCCATAGAGGAGCTCCATCAGCAGTGTGTGATGTAGTTTTCTGTGTGTGTGTGTCGCAGCGCGCCCTCTACCAGTCGTCCCACAGCGACGAGAACGACGTGCAGACGGTCAGTCACAAGTGCCTGGTGGTGAGCGTGGAGGAGTACGAGCAGATGACCCACACTCGCCGCTACGCCGACAGCGAGGACCTCTACTACCTGGCCGGCACCTACGAGCCCACCACCGGCATGATCTTCAACACGGACGGCGTTCCGGTCATCTGCTGAACCCACACAGAAACTCGCTGGGAGTTGCTGAAACCAAATCATGTCAGGACCTCACCAGAAGTCAACCTGTGGTCTAATCACTGATTTTCTTATTGTTTTTTATTCACGATGGATCCTTTCTCAACCACGAATCGATGAACTGCTCCGATCCACGTTGACCAGACTGTCAGAACAGCTCCTACTACAGAGACGGAGACACTACGGACAGTATTAAGGACAGCACGTCTCCTGAAAACGTTTGCACACACTCATCGACACATTCTGTTTGGCTTGTTGTGTTCATGGGGAGGTTTGCATGGGCGCTTCGGTTTCCCCCCTTTTGTATGTAAATAGACCCGCATAGACGAACACACAGATCACACGTGCACAGACTCGACTGTAAATAGCCACCCCATGTACCACACACGCGGTTCTATAGAGGAAAATATGAGTGTTTTATTTTTCATGTAATAGATTTATGTCAGAGTACTTTTTTCTAAAAGAGGTAAACAGTCAAGAAGCTTTAATGAACTGTGAATGATGAGGATGCAGGAGGGCAGCCGTCCGTCCGTCGGTCCGTCCACAGCGGGCCGGACGGACGCGGCGCCGCCGCCGCCGCCGCCGTGACGTTGTGATTATGATGTTGCTGTGGTGATGTTACAGTCATATAGATGTACCTACAGAACAGCAGGACCGACAGAAGGTGAGCACAGAGAGAGAGAGAGAGGTGGACTCCTTCCGTTGCTGTCCAACAGAGAGCACTTAAAAACACTTAATGAATCCTCCCCTAACTTAACCCCTTCAGCTCCCCTTGACAATCCTACGGCGGGCAGGAAGCTGTCCGCGGTGCAACTCAAACTTCTGCCTCCCTCAGAGACTCAGGCTAAAGAGAGAGGAAGGAAACTATTGTGAGAACTTCTTATTTTCATCTTCCGTTTTTTTTTCTTTTTAAAGGAAAAATCCACCCTGACACACGTGTCCATGTTTGTTCTTTGCCCGTTTTGCACCAAGACTGAACACTTTGGGGAGATTCTGACGTCTTTAGCCGAGAAAAGTCGACGCTACGATTCGATTGCAAAGTTCCTCCCTGAATGCAGATATATAGAAGCTGATGAGTCCCGGTGGGTGGATTTTTTCTTTAAGGTGTTTTCCGGGTTGTAAACACTGCAGTCAGTCCAAGACGCATCAAGGTCACGGCACCGATACCCGCCACGGAGCTGCCAGCTCTGATTAGATCAACAGAATTCAATTTTAACACTCAACATCCACAGTTTGGCTTCGTCTTGTCTGCAGCGTTTGCAACCTCTGAGTGTCCCCGCCTCAGACGTACTGTACTTTTCCTTTTGCTTCTGCCGTTTTGTGGATGTTCATCTCTGCCCTGTTTAATCACGTTTGCCCTCCAAGCAATCACCTTCGACATGAGTGCACTTTGAGCTCCGCTGCAGAGGAGGCCGGGCGTCGTGGGCGTCTTCCTAGAGTATTTACCGACCGCCCGTCTCTCCTCTGCGCGCCCAGCGTTCACCTTCAGACCCGGATAAAGACTCAGAACCACGTCCCCTCGCAACACGTTCTTCTTTTTTTGGTTCTTTTAGCTGCTCGTGAGTTGTTTCTATGTGCCTATTTTTTAAATGGTTTTTAAGGTGAGACTGTTGAATGTCGTGCTCAGGATTGTGAGCGTTTCGGGCGGCCTTTACTCTCCCAGGCCTTATGATGATGATGATGATGATGACGATGATGATGACGGTGACGCGCCAAATCTCTCTTAAGTGTCGCCCCCCGACTCCCTCCATCGTCCTCGGTGGCGTCTGCAGAGAAATGATCCGATGCTTTCCCCAGTCCGCTAGCGCTGCGTCTTTTATAGTTTAGAGCTCGTCGCCACTCGCTTCCTTTGTCGTGTAGAGTTTTTATCCAGTCTATGGGTTTATAGTATACTTAGTGTGTGTGTGTATTTGTGTGTATATATTTACATGTACTTACACACACAGCGTCCTGTCCAGTATGTGTTTATTAACCGCCCGCTTTGCTTTTCTCTGCTCTGCTGCAGAGATTGAAGATTGTCTTGTTGATATTCAATAGGTTTAATATTTTCTACTCTCTGGAGATCTTTTGTCTGATTTTATCGTAGGCTGTGTCCTGTTTGGTTTTTAACTCACCCTGAGACGGCCGCTCGGTGTCTGGAGGCAAGTCCAGACACGTTTCAGTGACAACAGACGGCCACCAGGGCGGCAGCGTTTCAGTATTTATGTCAAACTCAGACACCTAGTCAAGGAAAGTTGGATAATGTGCTGCTAGTCTATTAAAGTAGTGAAACCAGGTACAGAGCGCCTCCGTGTGCTCGCTTTCTGAGAGGATCTAATCTGCTAAAGCCCCACCTGCTCCTCCAGACGCTGCTCCAGACTCAAGTTCAGAAGTTGTGAGCGCCCGGCGTCCAGATCTCTGCTCGGTGTCTGAGGAGCGTCCCGGTGTTTGCAGAGCGAACAAGTTAAAGTGCCCGTTATGAATGTTTGTTTACCCCCAGAGCTCCTCAAGCACTTTTTTTTTCTCCCCACCGTGTGTGAGCAGCGGAGATAAGGAGGCTGATAATCTGATCTCCTGGTATTACCACACACACACACACACACACACACACACACACACGGACACCCCCCCGTAACCCTTTAAGGTGTGTTATTGCCTTCCAATCTGTTTTTTTTTGCCCCCCTGTCTCCATCCAAAGCCCAGCCTGAGGCCTTCATGCAGGGGTCACCACACTTACCCCCACGACTTTGCCTTCATTGTCATTTGGTGTCATAAGACGTTGTTGTGTTTGTGTTTTACTGAATCTCGTCTCCTTTTGTTTTTGTTATTTGGCTGCGATTATTTTGCTCATTTCTGGGGTTTCGTTTTTGCAAGTTAATGTCATTTTTTTTTTTCCCTTGCTTCCCCTCTCTGAACAATTGTCTACGCCTCGCAAGCAATACTGCTGACAGGCACTGGGAGCTAGCTGCTAGAGAGAGAGAGAGAAAGAGAGGGATGGGAGAGAGAGAGAGAGAGAGAGGTGGACTGGAGGCTGGTTCTTCGTCTGCTGTTCCTTCAATATCATTATTGTCCTGTTACAGAAAGAAAAACAAAAAAAAAAAGATTATTTTGAGAGTAAATAGAAAAAAATCATCTAAGTTTTGTAAATGATCCTTCACTGTCGAGGGGAGAAAAGCTATCAGAATATACTTTATACACATGTCTAATCTTGTAAAAATGCAAAAAAAATAAATAAACAAAGAGTACATTTTAGAGATGAATCTGAAAGCAGATATATTCTGTCACCCTATACTATATGTGTAAGGAACTGTTTTTTTTTTCTTTTTTTTTTTACAGACAGCAACCACGTTTATCAGTGTTTCTTTGAAATTGTTTTAGTAACTCAATATTTTATAGTTAATCAATAAACTGATGAAACTGTAACTTCTTGTCTTGTGTGAGTCTCACGTCGGGGCTGAACGTCCCTCGGCCCTCTGAACTTCTAGTTTCTGGGACTTTTTGGTTGTTTCTAAAACATTTTTCTCTGCTGTGGGTTTTTTTTTTTTTTTTTCATTTTCACTTCTGAGGAAACAGCACCACCGTGGCCAGAAGACGAGGGAACTCAGAACCGTCTTTTATGCAGTTAGAACGCCACAAAGCAGCAGCTCTCAGACCTTTTGAGCCACGACCTCCAAGATAACACAAGTTAGTGTTCGTGACCCCCCAGTTTGAATTTTTAATATATCGTGATTATTAATCCTGTTGTTAATTTGTTGAAAATTTATGTGTTCATTCCACAGATTATTCCCTTTACATTAACATTTTCTTTTGAATGAATAAATTGAGGGGGCTACAGGTGTCTCCTGTGATAGACTGGTTGCCTGTCCAGGTGAACCTGCCTTCACCCTGACTCAGCTGGGATAGACTCCGCCCCCATAGTGAGGATTAAGGTGTAGAGATGATGGATGGATAAACTGAAATTATTTCCAACAAATGAAAGAAAATGATTTTTAAAAAGAATAATAATATTGCATCACAGAAGCTTGTTAAACTTCATACCTGACATGTTTAATTAACCTGAAGGACAACAGATGCTGTAGCTTCTGTGGTCACTGCTGTTTGTTATGTGATGACTACTGCATTGCATTGTGGGGTATTTTTGCCAGCATAGTGCTGCTTTACTGTAAAATCCCCTTAGACTCAGGATGCACTCGTCAGGTTGTGGATAAACTGAAAAATATCACATCCTGTTTTACTAAATGTCACAGAGAGAAGTGAAGTTAAAAAGATCGCTTGTAGTTGAAATATGATTTGTGACCTCTGGCCTGGAGACGTCTAGTTGCCGTATATGAGTGTGCTGCTGGTGTGTTGCTGCATATTTCTAAAAAAACGTCCTAGTTGCAGACATCCATCCGTTCCCTCTGCGCTGATCTCTCCGTTCCACCGCCGACTATCCTGCAGTTTGCACTTCCGCCACATGGATCAGCTCACTCACCTACATTTGCCAACCTTTTTTTTTCTATTTCTTGTGCCTGTTTCCAGTTCGTGTGCAGCGCTCCTTTAATCAATAGTGGACTCCATCAGGCCTCCATTTTGGCAGCCCTGTAATGAAGTTGCTGGTTGTCATAAAATGGAGGAAAGTTCAGCTTCCTCTGCTGAGCTTGACCGCAGGAGACACATTTTTTCCTCGCTGACCGTTCATGACTCTGCCCTCCAAGAGCTGGAGGTGGCGCACGGCTCTGTGTGTGTGTGTGTGTGTGTGTGTGTGTGTGTGTCCTCTGAATTCCTGTGTGTGTAATTAAATCATTGCTGACATGAACTGAATGTGTGTTCCTGTTTCACGGTGAGAGCAGCAGTCAGGGCTCCGTCTCTTTTCCCCCTCAGCGGACCGCCGTCGCAACCTGCTGGGAACTTCCTCCGACACACACACACACACACACACACTCAAGAAAGGTGTCCATACACACTCACCAGCACACACACACTCCCTCCATCCTACCTCAGCGTGCCCTACACACCCTCCTGTGGGTGTGTCGGCATGCGGCGCCCTGATTGGACGACATCACATGAAGCGAGGCGTCCTATTGGCTGAGCCTCCATCGCATCTAAACACAGGGGGCACAAGGAGCTCAGATGCAAGTGTGTGTGTGTGCATGTGTGTATGTTCGCTTTCTCAGCTCTTCCAGGCAGCAGGGTGTGTGTGTGTGTGCTGCACATGGTTTCCCAGGAGACAGGTATCTGAGCGAGGGGGCGTTCGAATGCACGCTGAGCACAACGGTTTGAAAGGCTTGTTATTCAGACTGGAGTTTGCTCACAGACTTTCAGAACTCTGTGTTTGTCCTTCAACTCTGTTTTGTCAGAGAGAAGAGAGAGAGAGAGAAGGCACAGCGCTCTGCGTTTATTTCCAACTCTAACGATACCTTCACCTCCTCCTCCTCCTCCTCCTCCCTGCCTCCCTCCTCGCTCACCTCCATCCCTCTCAAACTGCTTCTCCTGTATGTGCATCCTGGTTCACACATGAGGAGGTCAAACAGCCTTCGTGTCACTGTCCCTCTGCTGAAGGGCATCGAGCAGGTTCAGCGTGAGCACTGAGAAGCACCTGCACATGCATTCATTTATTGGATATTTACTGGATCTTGTAGCATCTCCTGCATGTAGTCGTTTGTCCTCCAGATGCAGCATCGTTTGGCCAACAGGCAGGAAAATGTCTCAGTGTGTTGTTGTGGCAGCAGCAGTGTAACCGGTAAAGGTTCAGTGTTATGATGGAGTTAGCATTTAACTTCTTTCTTGTTTCTGAATAGTGAAGCCAACCTGCAGTCTCTCTAACGGCCAGCAGGGGGCGACTCCTCTGACTGCAGAATAATTCAACTTCTCACTTGTTGTGGTGCGTTTATGGTCTCCAGGGCAAGTTTCAAGTCTCCCTGAGCACAGCGTCCGTCTCTACGTTCAGTCTATGTGAGACGACACGATGAGATACGTTTGTGGATTTATATCCACAGATTGGCCGAATGTAAACTAGGTATTTAGTTTTAGTATAAATATCAAGGAGACATTTAGTCTTACATCAGTTTATTCTCACCATGAAACATGCTGACCTGATTAATGCATTGTGCCGGATCTCGTTTATATAATCCACACACAAAGTGCAGCAGAAATACAAATATCACATTTTGGATGTGCGTGCAAATTTTTGAGCATCTTTATTGCTTCAAAAAATGCAAATCATTTTGGCAAATAATATTAATTCCTTGCATTCCAATAGGGTGCTTGATATAAACGTTGGTGTTAGCGGTTAGCTCCTGCTCCAGCCTGCTGACGGGGGCATCAGTCTTTTTATTCCACCTGAAGAACGAGTGATTTACCTTCAGTTACCTGTTTTTAGCTGATATTAGTGACCTGGGAGTCACTTCATAGCTCCTCAGATCTGATTCCTTTTCACCCCTGAACCAGGATGTCTTCATCACAGATTACTGTAGTTTACTTATTTAACCAAATCCGATAAAATGACTGTTGTGATGTTTAGATGGTGGACGCTGTGAAGGCTGATCTCCTTGCTGGTGGTTTAACCTCCTCCACGTGTCCAAGCATCATAGTTCAGCTACGTTTCCTCAGATCACTGTTTATATGTAATTATGTGTATTTTATACCAAGTACGTGATTTGAAATGAGTGTATTTACAGAAAAACATGTCCTCCGTCTGCAGAAAACTATGAATTCAGCAGCTGACAGGTTCAGAAACCACCTTTAGGATCAACTGTTCCTCTGCAGCCTGAACAGAAACACACTGATTCATTAAAATGATATTAATTATGACACAGCAGCCTATTAAAATGTGATTTTTTTTCCATATTTTAACCTCAATTCCACCTGAATTCTCAGCACATTAGCAGATCCGTCTCATATTTTTTATTCTTCTACTCTAGTATTTATAGGAACTTGGCGTTGTGGCGCTCTGAGCACCGGCGCTGTAGGAGTTCACACCATTTACCATGTAAACATGAGAAAGTTGCAGCGACGACTTCCCGTCCGCCGGCAGCCACACATGAACCTCCTGTTTTCTTTGTGCTTCCTGCGTTTGATCTCCCTCTTTACGCCCATCACTGTCTCCTCTTCTGCTGCCTCTTGTGATAAATTTGAATGTGAAATGACAGCTGAGCCTTACAAATATTAGTTCAGAGTGTGATCCCACATGGAAGTATGTGTGTGTGTGTGTGTGTGTGTGTTTGTGGTGTGTGATGTACAGCATATCAATTAGCTATCTATTATTCATGCTGACAACGTAATGAATGAAACATCACAGTCTTTGTATTTCAGGCATGTTCACTTGTCTCCCTCTCTCTCTCTTGCACACACACAGCTGCCATTGTGGGTGTTTAGACAGAAGAAACCGTGTGAATGAAGTCCTGTTGTAGCTGTGAAGACGAGGTGAAGCCCGCTGAATACCTGACAGCTGAACCCAGCCCGACACTCGTAGCTCCTCCTCATTAAGACACACCATTTATACCGAGACAATATTTAGCCCATTAAGCCTCTCTGAGCAGGTCTCCAACATCCAAATCAAGTCCTGATGCACTGGTTTGCCTTCAGATGTTTCACAGCAGCAGCAGCATGTGGTGGGTGGGCGTTTTCCCCCTGGGCTTTGCCTCGCAGGCTACATACTGTACACTGATGACTGGTGGAGGTAGTTTGGAGCAGCCTGACAGACTTTGCAGACCCAGGGCTGCGAAATAAAAAATAAAAAAGCTGCTGCGCCTCCTCTGCATGTTTAATGTGGAAAAGATGTTCCTGTCAAAAAACTGTAAGAAGGCAGCAGGCGTGTCGCTGCTCTGCTACTGTTTGTGTCACTACAGCTGCTAGTTTGTGCTTTTCCAGTAAAATCCTGACAAATGGATTCAGAGCTTATTACTGCTTCTTTGCTTTTTTTTTCACAAGAAGTGTGTTTGTTGATTGAACACTGGAAACTCTTTCTGAGCAGTTTAAACACATCTACAGTCGTGACTTGATGATCCGACACTAAATGTAAAACCTTCTTCTATGTCGGATATCAAGGCTGTTGGATTGTCCAGACGGAGGTCCAGATACGAGGAGGGCTTGATGCTGGAAGGTTCATTAGTTGTTCATTATTGTTCATAGTTGTTATAATAACTAGTGTGTTGTTAGAATACGATGCATCGCTGGATTTCAGTCTAACTGATCGGTATGATTGTACATGTTCCGGCCACTTCCACCCCGGGGCAGCGCTCTGACGGGGTGGAAGTGTCCAGAACACACAGGCAGTACTTGGCTGCTGATGCTAGTTTAGTTAGCGCTCACACTTCTGTTTCCTCCATCGGTGGCGGCGGGGGAGTGGCAGATACGCTCCACCGTTACCATCCATGTTTACTTCCATAAACACTGAGCACGCTCGCTGCGTGTGACGTCGTCGTGTCCTCTTCTGCGCATGC